ACGTGAAAGAACAATAGTTAGGATTTTTTTATGTGGTATCATATTTCTGTTTATCTAGAAATAGATTTTTTCTTGTTTATCTGTTACAATAAATCTATGTTTCAGCAAAGCTCTTCATGATTCAAAATTAGTAACTCTTAATAATAGTTCTATTAATTTGTTTAAGAAACACTTGTAAATCACGAGATTGCAGAATATTGCAGAATTTATAGCATTCTCATATCAATCCAATCCAAACCCAAGTTTGCTGCTCCAGTACAAGCCAACACTCTCATTCTCAATTGAATTTCCCCTTTTCAGTGTTAGCTAAGAAGCAGGACCAATAAAAAGCTTTAAAACAAATTAAGTATGAAGAACTGAGGTCTGTTTCAATACATGCAACATAAAACATAACCAAAGCAGCTAAAGTTCAGTATCAGAAAAGCTGTATCATCTAGTTCCTATGAAGTGAGGATAATAAGAATGCACTGAGTTTCAGATCCAGAACCAAAAAGATGTTTTCATACAGGTGTGAACACAGGCACATTTATCGACATCTCCCTAAAGAAACAGAATTCTCTCCTCCCCTCCCCAAACTCAGTTTGCACAAAAGCTCCGGGGGCAAGGAAAATATGTGTTTGAGTGAAGGAGGGATGCAACAATGTGCTTTGGAATGCACGGTATTTTTTGGAGTATAAGATGCACCTTTTTCCACCAAAAAAGAGGGTGAAAATCTGGGTGGGTCTTACAGTGAATAAGAATTTTTGGCCTCGCGAAACCCCACCCCTTTGCAAAAACTGATGTGCAGAGGGTTTGGGAGGCTTGCAAAGTGCTCTTGGGAACTGGGGAGGGCAAAAACGAGCAAAAAATGGGCCATTTTGCCCCTCCCCCAGCCCCCAGGAGCAATCTATAAGCCCCCCAAAGCTCTGCATGGCCTTTTTTTTTGTTGTTGTTGCAAAAACAAGCCATGCAAAGGGTTTAGGAGGCCTGCAGAGTGGAAAAACTTTTTTTGTTTAATTTACCTCTTCAAAATCATGGTGCATCTTATACTCCAGAGCATCTTATAGTCTGAAAAATACAGTATGTGACAGCATTGTTGGTGCCTCCTTAACTGAAATATGCATTTTTTCTGAAGCCCAGAAAAGATGCAGCTCCTTTAAGGAGCATTATCAGGTGAAGTGTGTGCATTAACCCTTATTTTGAAACACTTTTTTTTTGTTTTCGATTAAAAGCACGGTACAGCCAGTTGATGGAAATGATGGAACTCGCTGAAATGGCCAAATTGACTTGTCTGATCAACAGGAAATATAACATTTATGTTTATTGCTGACTGGAAATGCCTTCTGGATTTTTGCAGGAAAAAAATGAACATATGATTTACGGATTTGATGAAGGGGATAGACTAGAGAAAGAAAAGAGACAAGTTGTAACTTTACAGCGGCAAATTTATAATTGTACTTATACATTCTGTAAAGAAAATTAGAAGTGACTTCTTTGTATCTTTTTCTTTCTTTTCTATTTTTCTTTTACTTTTTTTCCCCTTTGTTGCACTTTTAGCTTTCTTTTTTTCTTCTTTACTTTTTATTAGTTTGCATTAATTTTTTATCTTTTTTAAAAAAACTTTTTATAAAACTATAAAAGCAAACTAAAGTACAGCATATTTCATGTTAATATTTATGCTTATCTCAAGTTTTAGAGGAAAAACAGAATAAAAATCCAATAAATGAAACTGGCATGAACAGCTCTCTGTGATCTTGCACGTAACACACTCTGCAATCAACTGGAATTCAAAAAAAAAAAAAAGCCTGTGATTTGAAATTCCAGTTTGCTAATCTTTAAGCAGGCTAGTCCTCAAGTATTTTACCATGTATTAATTTTAGTTTTAAAAAAAACACTTCCTGTCCAATGTTAGCAATGGAGAATTTAATAGACAGGTGTTGTGGCCCGGCAGGAGCTGTTGGAGCTGCCACCAGACTCCGACAGCGAGAGGCCCTATGAGTCGGCACTGGAGGATGTGGAGGACCCTGGACAGGGTTCCGACTCCGAGCAGGGCGCAGAGAGACTGGTTGCCCACCAGGTGGCGCCTAAGCCTTGAATCAGTGGAGAGGAGACAAGAGAGAGTGATCCAGAATCCAACTGTGAGTTGTTCCGGGATGCCCACCGTTGAAGGGCTACTCAGCATCAAGAACAACTACGTAATTACAGAGGTAATTACGGTCAGCTGATGGTCATTAAGCTTCTCTCCCAGACTATAAAAGAGACTGCTTGTGCCACGCCCTTCTTGCAGAAGTCAACGTTTGGGACGAAAGAGAAACGAACTTGGCAGGCTGGATTGCTGCCAGAGTTTGTTTGCACTGCTGCCAAGGTTTTTCAGACTTGCTGCCAAAGTCCTTATCTGTTTGTTTATTTGGCTTTCAGCCACTGAGAGTCTGGACTATTAAAAAACATTCTCATTTACGCTTGTCTCAGCTTTCGTTACTGGACGGAGGAAGTGGATCAGAACAGACAGGTATGCTATTAATAGTTAATTGAAGATGCTATTGGAAAATCATCTACACACATATTATTACAGTTACTGTTGCATATTATTAATGTGATTTATACTCTGCTTTTTTGCTCAAAGGAAAACTATTTGCTGAAGGAATGTATGTAAGTGAACAGATCATGACTGCATAGGAAAATGGCTTCACAAATCTGAGCCTCTTAAATCAAGATAAAGATATAAGAGTAACAGCTTAAATAATGCTTTGTGATGAGAAACAATAGATGGAAACTAGCCAAGGAGAGAAGCAACTTAGAAATAAGTAGAAATTTCCTAATAGTGAGAATGGAACAACTTGCCTTCAGAAGTTGTGAGTGCTCCATCACTTCATCAAAAAGAGACTGAACAACCATTTATCGGAAATGGTATAGGATCTCCTACTTGAGCAGGGGGTTAGACTAGAAGACCTCCAAGGTCCCTTGCAACACTATTATACTCTAGAGAACTCTATGTTCTATAGTCTTAGGTGCTGCTATATTTTTTCTTGTTATCAGTTGTGTGATGATGCTTTGTAAATGCATGTTTTACTTTATTTGTAATAGGTTCGGATGCCAACTAGTTCAGTGGATATTTCAGCATTACAATTTAACTGCCCAAGCTCATTTATTGACCTAGAGGTAGTCCTCAAGTTATGACCACAATTGGGACCAGAATTTCAGTCACAAGTCACTGTGGTCATAAGTCAAGTCATCATGTGACCAGACCCAAGTTTATAACCAATTTTGCACTGGTCGTTAAGTAAATAACACGGTTAAGCAAATCATCTGGTCCTTAAGGGAATCCGGCTTTCTCAATGGAGTTTCTGGCCCAAACCAGCCAAACCACTGGAAATCACAATTACATGATTGCCAGATGCTTCCACCAGCTGTAAATGTGAGCCAGTTGCCAAATGTACAAATTGTAATCACATGACCATGGCAGGGGGAGGGTGACAGTCATAAGTGTGATTATAGCTTGTAAAGCCCCTTTTTCCCAAGGCTGTCATAGCTTTGAACCATCATTAAGCAAATCATCATAAGTCAAGGGCTAACTCTACTTTGTTTAGGTTATTTCCTATTCCTTTTACTGGAACACAGATGGGACAAAAGTTTGTATGACCTTTTGGGCAATTTCTAGTGGATGAGGAAAGTGTCACCAACCTGCCCCACTTCATCAAATGCCATAATCACTACTGCTGCTCCGTATCTCCTAATTGTTCTTGCTTTTCTTAGGAAATCCTCTTCACCTTCCTTCAGACTGATGCTGTTTACTATGCATTTCCCTTGCGAACACTTCAACCCAGCTTCTATTACAGAGAAGTTTGAGGAATCAATGCAAAGGGGCACCTGAGGATGAAAAAGGACAACGTTGAAAAAAAAGATAATGATTTTCAAAGCCAATAAGTAGCTAAGTCTAAATGGATGCATATCCAAGGCAGAGGGAAAAGGTCTTGCAAGTTTTTTTTAAAAAAAGAAAGGCAAATTGTCTATGCAATTACATTTACCACAAAGGCTAGACTAATTTCTCTCTTTCAAGAGCTTTCTTCAGATTATGACATCCTTGGAAAAGATTCTATGACCTAACAGCAATATTTGACATTCAGATTGATGCACAAAAATTACAGCTGAACAAAACATTCTAAGCAGAGGGGCCTCCTGCCAAATTCCAAAGGCTTAGTGACTTCACTTCAGAATATAGATCAGAGGAAAAAACCATTTTGGGTGATCGTTTCCCTTCTGGCTTCTGCTCACAATCTGTGCTCTCAGAAGTGACAGTGAGAACACTAGGACACAAGGCTGCCTGAAAAATAAGGCAGGCAATTTTTGGTGTTTGGGGGAATCTGAAAGCTGAAGTTGGTACCCTTAAAATTTGCAGAGACCACATTTTATGAAATTTCAGAACTGGTCTCCTTACTCCTTTTATAGCATTCGGCTGTACATGATTCAATCAAATGCTTCTTGGTTAAATCAAGATACTTCTTCTGGATAAAAACATTAAAGCTCTCTTACATGGAAGTCAGGCACTGCTATTGAAATACGTGTATTTCAAATAATGGTGCCAAATAATGTCTGCTCTGAAGGTAAGCAATATTATATAGACAGTGCTCATCTGATATCTGTGGTATTTAGGATTATTTATGGATTTGGATTATTTACAGATTTGGAGGAGGGACCCAGTGGCTCAGACGCTGAGCTTGTTGATCAGAAAGTTTGGCAGTTCAAATCCCTAGCGCCACATAATGGAGTGAGCTCCCGTTACTTGTCCCAGCTTCTGCCAACCTAGCAGTTCGAAAGCATGTAAAAATGCAAGTAGAAAAATATGAACCACCTTTGGTGGGAAGGTAACAGCATTCTGTGCACCTTTGGCATTCAGTCATGCCTGCCACATGACCATGGAGACATCTTCAGACAGCATTGGCTCTTTGGCTTTGAAATNAAATTTTAAAATTTAAAAAAAAAAGTTTTATGTGCAACCCGGAATGTTTTCCTTTTCCTTCCAGAGCTCAAGGCAGCTCGCTTCAAGATTTCACGAGCAGTTTGTTGTACGTGAAGATCTGATGGGCCTGGCAATTGGCACTCACGGAGCTAACATCCAGCAAGCCCGGAAGGTACCAGGGGTGACAGCAATTGATCTTGATGAAGACACTTGTACATTCCATATTTATGGGGAGGTGAGTTGCATTTCCGAAGCTCCTTTCATTGAAATATCCCCAACTCTGAGCCACTGCAGTGTTTCAAAACACACGTACATTTTCCGTAGGATCAAGATGCAGTGAAGAAGGCCAGAAGTTACCTTGAGTTTGCTGAGGATGTCATCCAGGTCCCAAGAAACTTAGTAGGTAAGTCAGTCAGAAGGTGTGTTTGAAACCTGATTATTTTAGAACTAAAGACGGGAGGAGAGTTTCGCAGTATGGTTAATCTTAACTTTTTTTCTAACATAAATAGCAATTCTGATCAATTTGGGCTCACTTAAAATGAAGCTTAATAGGACTGTTTTAATACTGATGTACAATAATGTGTCAAACTGACTATAAGGAACTGTTGAGCCAGGATCATTGCTATTCTGTTTCATATCCTGCAAGTCTGAATTTAATAATCCTTTTTTCTAATGAATTATCGTACTTCACAAAATAAGTTTATTTTCAATCCTGAAAACAAGGATTTGATTTGAATGTCATCCTTGTTTCATAACACCAATTGAGTAAAACCTTTTGACAAGTGAAGTGACTGCGGTAATTGGACACAGATTTCTCCTTGCAATATTGACACTGGAGGTTATTGTCAGACTTAATTAAATCTCATCTTAACGGGCATGTCTAGTAATTGGTTTCAATCCATTTTAATAAATATTTCCTGCGATCTCTGCATGTAGGAAAACAAATTTTCAAATTTGAGTCCTTTTTCAAATAAAGATTCAATGTTTTTAAAGATGCCTATCAAAGGGACATAAGCATCTGGTGTCCTTGTGACAACAGGCTTTTTTTATTGATACAGAAATGAAATATTTAAGCATTTGTGGAAGTAACTTTCGGCAGAAGTAATTTGTCCCTTTTTTCCGTAATGTTTCTGATCGGAAGAAATGTTTTGCCGTGTTCTTTTTTATAGGAAAGGTTATAGGAAAAAATGGAAAACTCATTCAAGAGATAGTGGATAAATCTGGAGTTGTGAGAGTGCGAATTGAGGCTGAAAATGATAAAAATATTCCACAGGAAGAGGTAAGGGGCATTTGATAATATTTTGTAATATTTCACATTTGATGCAGAAAAGCACATTTTCCATAACCGTCAACATTTTTATTGTAACCCAGTTCAGGGAGCTGCTTAATTGTTTTGCCTTTTGTAATATTAGCTAAGTAGCTAGACCTGTTGGATTTTTGTAAAGGAGCTAAACTGATTCTGTTCCTCAAAATGTTAAGCCACATTCTCTAATATTCAGATGTGCCACTTCAAAAAGTCCGTCCATTGTCTCATCATGTGCATTATTCATAAAAACTTTTTATTTCCGGATTGGGGGTTTTATTGCAGTTTGTCATAGATCAGTGCAGAGTTGTGTATTAGTATAAATTAAAATCTAGGCTGGATTTCTTAGGAGATAATTTCTCCGCCACATCCTGAGGACCATATATTGCCCTGTTCCGAGGTCTGATGAAGTGAAGAAGAACCGCATTTGCATGCTTACTTAAAACATTGCCATTAGATGTTTAATGAGATTACAGGTAGTCCTCAACCTACGACCACAAATTGAGCCTGAAATTTATGTTGCTTAGTGAGAAATTCGTGGTGAGTTTTGTCTCATTTTATGACTTTTTCTTGCCACGTTTGTTAAGTGAACCACTGCAGTTGTTAAATTAGTAACACAGTAGTTAAGTGAATCTGGCTTCCCCATTGACTTGGCTTGTCAGAAGGTCACAAAAGAGTATCACTGAAACCGTCATAAATACGAGTCAGTTGCCAAGAGGTGGAATGTAAGCCACATGACCGTGGAGATGCTGCAGCGATCATAAATGTGAAAAATGGTCCTAAGTCACTTCTTTTCAGTGCTGTTGTAACTTTACTAAGTTACTGAAGGACCTGTTGTAAGTCAGGGGCTACCTGTGCATTGAGTGCTGGTTCCTAGAGTGGCGCGGATGGTGTCCTGCAAGCCATTTGATTCTAGGTTTGCTTTCTAGGGAATGGTCCCGTTTGTCTTCGTGGGAACCAAGGACAGTATCACAAACGCCACCGTTCTTTTGGATTACCACCTCAATTATTTAAAGGTGAGCGTTCCACTGGCTTACCTGGCTTCCAGGTGTTACATAACTTCATTTAACCCTTTCGTTATTTCTACTAGAGTGGTGCGGTGGCCTAGAGGCGGAGCTCTCTGTGAGTTCGATCCCAGGTAGAGGCAGATATTTCTCTCTCTCGGCACCATGAGAATATATTATCTGCTGAACAAAGCTCCGCACTGGCGTCAGGAAGGGCGTCCGGCCATTAAAACGCTCTGCTTAGCTCCATTCCGTTGCCCAGACTCCACCCACCAAGGGATTATGGGGTTATTAAATGACGACGATTCTTTTCTATTAATCCTCACCGTTTGTGTTCATTCCTAAATGAATTCCTGTGCCTTCAAAGCGAAGCAAGACTCAACGGCAATCCTTAGAATAACCGCAGCTTCTGGCCAATTGCCTCTTTTCCTCCCCAGGAAGTGGATCAGCTCCGCCTGGAGAGGTTGCAGATTGACGAACAGCTTCGACAGATCGGGGCCACATCAAGGCCACCCCCTAATCGCCCTGATAAAGAGAAGGTGTACATGGCTGACGACGGTCCCGGTCTCGGAAGGGGCGGCCGGCCTTACAGGAACCGAGGCCACAGCAGGCGTGGCCCAGGCTATGCTTCAGGTGGGTAGCTTGGAAGACTTTGTTCTGGAGAGGCCTGAAGTTCTGGAATTCTTAAAAACGGGGAGGCTGAGCCGATCTGAAGACGCCAGTGAGCGATAAAGATGAAAAGGGATTTCTGCGGCTCCTTCCGTGCTTGCTACCTTGGCGCATTTAATTTCGGTTTATCCCAAATATCCCGTGAATCTTTGCTACCCCATACTTGAGAGACCGCCTACTGCCAATTACCTCCACACGACCTATTAGATCTCACCGGTTAGGCCTCCTCCGAGTCCCATCTGCCGGTCAATGCCG